CATGTGTTTTCACCATTGCTAGGATTAGAAGACTAGACGTCAGGGAAGAGAATAAATTGATAGCTACATTGTGTAGCATACCCCCTGTCACATCACTGTTTGATATTGGGACATGTATTAGTTGTGAAGCACCGAGTAAACTCTATATTTGTGTTTCACGTGGGAGACAAGAATCCACAGTTGAATTGTGAGGTGTTAATCACATGGTCAAGCAGTAGTCGCCATGTTCCTGAAGCATATGGATGTGTAATACAGTTAGTTGTATGTCATCATAAGCTACATAACTAGACAATTTTGAGATGATTTTTTTTTTTAATACTTGTTATATTTGAGTTATATTCCTTTTGTCATTGTTAGTCATGTGTCCTTTGTTATGAACTAGCAGTTCTGCCATAATGTTGTTGTTTCATGTATGAATTAAATGTGTACCGCCCAACTTCTACATTTGTTGCTTGATACTTCAATACTAATCAACATAGTTGCATCGGTGAGTGAACCATGTGTTTTCACCATTGCTAGGATTAGAAGACTAGACGTCAGGGAAGAGAATAAATTGATAGCTACATTGTGTAGCATACCCCCTGTCACATCACTGTTTGATATTGGGACATGTATTAGTTGTGAAGCACCGAGTAAACTCTATATTTGTGTTTCACGTGGGAGACAAGAATCCACAGTTGAATTGTGAGGTGTTAATCACATGGTCAAGCAGTAGTCGCCATGTTCCTGAGGCATATGGATGTGTAATATAGTTAGTTGTAATGAGTAGTTATCATGATTTTGAAGTGAGAGCACATATAAAGATCTAATATAAGAAGTATAAACAGATATGTGCTTATTGTACTTAATATATTGTTGTAACCCGGCCTTGCACAAGTGCTGGTGGTGCACACGAGCGCTATTAAAGGTAAACAAGAAGACACTAGGATAGAGAAAATAATAGTGCATCAAGGATTGTAAAGAGTCTGAATGTTTGGAAACTAAGAAGTCAACTTTTGTGCTGCGTGAAGGTTGTAGTAGGGACCTTGAGCGAAGCGGGGAAGGCTGTCATTGGCCTACATTCGGGCTAAGAAGTAGCAAAGGACTGGTATAATTAGTAGTAAGACTGTGAGGAAGCCGAAGGATGTTATGTTTGCCCTAGTGAATAAACACAACTATTTATATCTTGTTGAGCTGCCTGCCTTTTTGTTGAGTGCCTACCCTAGAGTTACAACAATATTATTGGAGAATTTCTTGTATTCATTGAAGACTAGACTTGCCAGTATGTTAATATTTTTATGTCAAATAAATTTCATCTTCAAGCATCCATTTCTGAATCTCTATGTTTGTTGTGCTATTATAGACGAGAGATAGAAACTTCAGACAGTTTTGACTAATAATAAATTGTTACACCGGTTTCCGTATTTGACCCCAAAACATCTTCAGTTGATCTTTAAACTTTTATATTGTTGACTTTGCCATTATTATCAGTGTACAAAAATTATGTCATTCCAATGAAAGATGTCAGAAAACCGATTTACTCCCCCCCCCCCCCCCCCCCCCCCCCCCATTGCCTAAAACTAATGTAGGGGAATGTTGGTGAAAACCTCAGTAGAGCAGCAGATGGAAATCTATCTGCAGGTAATGGGAGCCTATAGAAGGCCCAAGAGCCAACAGAAGGCAGTCGTACTGCATTGTGCTGGTCCATAGGCCATAGAAGTTAGTGACCTATTCACATACCTGAGATGAACTCCTATTGAAAAAAGCAGAGCAGGAAGGTCTCAATCCTCCTGTAGTGCTCTGGCAAGAAACTTAGCCGTTTGGCTTAATGCCTCGTAGCTACCATACAAGTGACCGCTCAGACACGCCTCCCCCTTAACTCGCAGAGCTGAGGACACTCATATAATACCTGCGACACTGTTTTGACGCTCTCTCCACAGTGACGGCATCGGGAGTCAAAGTTCGGACGGAACCGGGCAAAGTATTCCCCAATAGGACAGTGTTCCGTCCTGCATTGCGCAATAATTGTCTGCTCTGACCTCCTCAGTCGCCTCCATGGATCGTCACGATCTGGGTGTCGCATGTCCTGCCAGACACCACATGCTCTATCGGATATTGTTTGAATAGTATATTTTTATAATTGTTCATGAATATTCTTAAATAATTTTTTGTATTTTGCTATATGTTCATGAAGACCTCAACTGAAAATACTGTCATGCAAAGTAGAATATTGGAATACTTTTTATCTAGTGGCAATTTACTCACGAAAATACTCCTCAATTTCAATGTTAGCTTTAACTTTTTTAAAAATTAACGTATACATATCAATATTTTAACATATGTTGTTAAAATAAACTGTAATAAGCCATATAACCTGGCTTGTTATTCAAATCTTAAAATTTTATGTGCGCAAGTTCTAAGGACTATAAATACCCTCCCTTTACAGCAACAGTTAAAATAATAGAAAATGGGATTCCCAAACTCAATTTTTTAATGTTGTTCTGTTCTTAAACTAGAAGCAAGCTAAATATAATTTGTCTATATTTAGTTTGCCAGCTTTAATTTTGAAGAAATTTGTTTGTTTGGTTCAGTGCACTTTAGTTTCTTCTTTCCCTTTTTATGTCCAGTGCCCTCTATGGCCCCTATGTATTCAGCGCCCCCCCCCCCCCCCCTCCCCGCCCCTTTGCCTCCCAGTTTCAAGAAAATGCTACCCAGGGGGCACTAGAACCCCTGTTGAAGGCCACTGCTATAAAACAATCTAGTCATGATTGTTAAGAAATGACTTAAACTCTGCAAAGTCTCTGTAAAACACTTTAAAAAATAAGCTTCAGTTGCTGCCTTTGTATAGTATTAAATACTATTGCTATTACTACATGATCTTTTTTTTTTTTAAAATAAAAAAATTCTTAGCTTTAGACAATTTAGATACATAAAATTTTTTTTACAATTTTCTTTAGAAATAAACATGTAAGAATACAGCTCTAGTACCAGTTTAAATTAATATATTGTTTTAGATAGTATTTTTTCTATATTTTACAGAAACAAATGGTGAATTGGAATGAAAAAATTACTTTAATGCAAGAGATGCATTTGAGAAACACTCATAACAAAGATGGCTATGCAGAGAATTCAAGAGTTGAAGCACACAACTGTTCTTACAACAATAGAAACCAGCATCTAGCGCATGCAGAAAAAAAAATTGACCAAATTCAAATAAGTATAGAAACTTTCTCTACTTCATCAAAAATATGTAATGATAAGATTTATTCATGTAAAAAATTATTTAAATGCAAAATTTGTCAGAAAGAATTCACTCATTCATCTAGTTTAAAAAAACATGAAAATATACATACTGGTAAAAAGCCATTTAAATGCAAAATTTGTCAGAAAGAATTCACTCGGCCATATATTTTAAAATCCCATGAAATTATACATACTGGTAAAAAGCCATTTAAATGCGAAATTTGTCAGAAAGAATTCTATCTGTCATCTAAATTAAAATATCATGAAATTATACATGCTGGTAAAAAGCGATTTAAATGCAAAATTTGTCAGAAAGAATTTGCTTATTCATCTAGTTTCAAAAATCATGAAGTAAAACACACTGGTAAAAAGCTATTTAAATGCAAAATTTGTCAGAAAGAATTCACTCAGCTATCTAATTTAAAAAGCCATGAAATTATACATACTGGTAAAAAGCCATTTAAATGCAAAATTTGTCAGAAAGAATTCACTCGGCCATATACTTTAAAATACCATGAAATCATACATACTAGTAAAGTACTATTAAAATGCAAAATTTGTAAAAAAAAATTCACTCAGCCATCTAGTTTAAAATACCATGAAATTGTACATACTGGTATAAAGCCATTTAAATGCAAAATTTGTCAGAAAGAATTCAGTTGGCCATTTAGTTTAAAATTGCATGAGGCTATACATACTGGTATAAAACCATTTAAATGCAAAATTTGTCAGAAAGAATTCTATCAGCCATCTAGTTTAAAAAGCCATGAAATTATACATACTGGTAAAAAGCCATTTAAATGTAAAATTTGTCAGAAAGAATTCACTCATTCATCTAGTTTAAAATCTCATGAAATTATACATACTGGTAAAAGGCCATTTAAATGCAAAATTTGTCAGAAAGAATTCTATCAATCATTTAGATTAAAATCCCATGAAATAATACATACTGGTAAAAAGCCATTTAAATGTGAAATTTGTCAGAAAGAATTCTATCAGTCATATAATTTAAAATCCCATGAAATTATACATACTGGTAAAAGGCCATTTAAATGTAAAATTTGTCAGAAAGAATTCACTCATTCATCTAGTTTAAAAAAACATGAAATTATACATACTGGTAAAAAGCCATTTAAATGCGAAATTTGTCAGAAAGAATTCTATCTGTCATCTAAATTAAAATCCCATGAAATTATACATACTGGTAAAAAGCCATTTAAATGCGAAATTTGTCAGAAAGAATACTATCTGTCATCTAGTTTAAAAACCCATGAAATTATACATACTGGTATAAAGCCATTTAAATGCAAAATTTGTCAGAAAGAATTCTATCTGTCATCTAAATTAAAATATCATGAAGTTATACATACTGGTAAAAGGCCATTTAAATGCAAAATTTGTCAGAAAGAATTCTATCAATCATTTAGATTAAAATCCCATGAAATAATACATACTGGTAAAAAGCCATTTAAATGCGAAATTTGTCAGAAAGAATTTTATCAGTCATTTAATTTAAAATCCCATGAAATTATACATACTGGTATAAAGCCATTTAAATGCAAAATTTGTCAGAAAGAATTCTATCGGTCATCTAAATTAAAATCCCATGAAATTATACATACTGGTAAAAGCCATTTAAATGCAAAATTTGTCAGAAAGAATTCTGTCATCTAAATTAAAATCCCATGAAATTATACATACGGTAAAAAGCCATTTAAATGCAAAATTTGTCAGAAAGAATTCTATCTGTCATCTAAATGAAAATCCCATGAAATTATACATACTGGTAAAAAGCCATTTAAGTGCAAAATTTGTTAGAAAGAATACGCTTATTGTTCTAGCCTAAAATATCATGAAATTAAATATTCTAGCTAATTACTATTAAAATGCAAAATTTGTGAAAAAGAATTCACTCAGCCATCTAGTTTAAAAAGCCATGAAATTATACATACTGTAAAATGCCATTGAAATGCAAAATTTGTCAGAAAGAATTCACATGACCATCTAGTTTAAAATTGCATGAAGTTATACATACTGGTAAAAAGCCATTTAAATGCAAAATTTGTCAGAAAGAATTTTACTCACTCGTAGTTTTAAAAAACATGAAATAAAACATACAGATAAAAATCCATTGCAATGCAAAATTTATGAAGTTCTCTTACTTAAAAAGCCATGAAATAAGACATTCTGGTAAAAAGAACATTTAAATGTAAAATTTGTAAAAAAAAGAATTCACTTATCTTATCTCACTGTCCTCGTACTAAACTTATCGGAGAAAGTGCCTTTGGAGATTTAGATTATGACATGACAATAAGAACAAACTGTTTATTGCATAGCCGATCCACAATGCATTGCACCAAAAGAAACAAAACATCAGCCCGTATTTAAAAAGTAAATCTTTGGCGAAGAGAGCTAAGTTGTTTATATTTGCTTGCAAGCATTCTCAAAGACAGAAACATTCAAGAAAACAAACCGAGCTTAATGTTCAAATGGAAAATAAAGAACAGATTATATTAAATATATGAAAAAAGGAAGTATCTAAATTTAATAAAATAACTCAAATCACAGCCATTGTAAAACAAAAACGTGGTGGTCCTTGTTGAAGTTCTGATGACGAGTAAACCAAACAATTATAGAAAATAAATTCTTAGAAGATTTAAAAAATGAAATTTGATTACACAATCTACTAAACAAAACTACAAAGTTACATTTGAACGTTGGCATTGACCTTTTAAAAGATGCTTATTAAAAGCTGCTTATCACAAAAACAACAAAACACTGACTAATGTGTGTATGTGCCAGGGCTCAACATTGTTGTCTTTCTGTCCATTGCATTGGATACTAATATAAACTGTTAAATGTTGTAATATGTTTATAAAATGAGTATTGCTTTTTATATAATAGAATATTTTAGTCTCTATAGTTGAAATATTAAGATATTATGTTTAAATTTTTTTCATACAACTTAATAAACACTGCTTTGAAAGACTTTTTAGCTTCGAAAAATATAGCAACTTTTTTTATCAAAAAGAGGACATTGGTCAGTTGTTGACATTGTGCGTCCAATCAAACTTTGTTCTTTTTTAATGAAATAGCATGTCATGATGTGTTTCAATATCTATGCATTGGTAAATTTCAAAAAAATAATAATTTTATAGTGGTATATTTATGAAGAAATAAAGATACCCTAATCTTGTGTTTTTATTTTTTTACATTCATACATTTATTTTAATGCGCAATTTTTACTGCCTTTTGACATCCTTCGCGTCATGCATATTAACCAATGACCTAAAATATGCCAAGTCACTGGTTTTCCTGGCTAGCTCAGGCAACCCATTCCATGCTCTAATAGCGCTAGGGAAGAAGGAGCATTTTTACAGATTTTTCCTTGCATAAGGAACGAGGAACATGCCTTTCTCTTTGTGTGTTTCTGAGTACTGGGTATTTTATTAAATTTTGTTTTTGTATTTGAAGATTATGGTTCAGTGTTTTATGTATAATTGCTACTTTACTTTTGAGTCTTCTGTCCTGAAGGCTTTCTAAATTTAGTGATTTTACTATAGGTGTTATTACTCTAGTCAAATGTGAATATTCATTTGTTAAGAATCTCACTGCTCTATTTTGTGTCTGTTCTAGTTACTTAATGTTTTCTTGAGATAGGGGTCCCAAACAGAGGATGCATATTCTATTATTGGCCTAACCAAGGGTCAAATAACATTTTAGTTCTATGTTCTTATTTGATTTAAAGAAATTTATTTTAATAAACCCTAATGCTTTGTTTGATTTTTTGATAGTTTCATCAATATAGGGATTCCATGACAATTTTTCATTTATTATAACACCTAGGTAATTTGCGTTTTTAGTCTGTGTTACTGGTTTACCATGAATAAGGTAAGAGGAATTAATTTGTTTAATTTTTGTTTTGTTACACTTAATATCAGAAATTTTCTGGGTGGAAAGATATACTTCAATTTGATTCCCATTTCTGTAATTCATTTAATTCTCTTTGTAAAATTTCAGTATCTTGTGTTGTTTTTATTGTTCTATATATTATATGCAATCGTCTTCAAGTAATCTGTTCCTGTTATGTTCCTGAACTAATGCAATTTGGTAAATCATTTTATGTAAATTAAAAATAGTAGTGAACCTAACACTGTTCCTTGAGTTACACCTGAGTTTACTGTTATTGGTGTTGATTTAGAGCCATTTATTATTACAGTTTGTTCTCTCCCTATCAGAAAAAAAAATGTTTGTAAAAATATTTTACATGTTTTGGATGTTACTTCAGAGTTGAAGATAATTACTTCCTAGTCCAAACCTCCAGCAGGACGACAGGGGGTGGAAGCGGGCAGGGTTTGAACCCTGGACCATGGAAAAATCTGAACGACAGTCCAGCGCGCAAACCGCCAGTCAGCCATCCAAATCTTTAATCCACTGATGCAATGGCCAACAATTCCAAAATTGTTTTTTTAAGCAAGCTATGGTGGTGAACTTTGTCAAAAGCCTTAGAAAAATCTAGTAAGATAGCATCTATTTGCTCACTATCATCTAAACCAGTGATTCCCAAAGTGGTCTACGAAAGTGAAAAAAAAATTTGGGGTCTGAGATGTCCAAAGGTGTCAACGATAATACATTTCATTTAAGTGACCTTAATTTTTTGCATCCTATTAATGAAATTATTTCATACACTAATATATAAAAATAAACTTAATAGAATCCTAAATGCTGAAAATCATTGGCAAAAAACAAACCCCATTTGGGCAGTTGTTTGAGACAAACATTTATAAGAAAGCTAACAAGATCCTCGAAATAAAGAATCACCCTTTGTGTCAGGATATTGTGATTTTACCATCACAAAAGAGATACAAGGCACTGATGGCAAAGACAAACAGACACAAACACTCTTTTGTTCCTTTGGCAATCAAATCATTAAATAAGAACAATCTGAAATAAACTTTTTCACATGTAAATTATGAGTGCGTCTGGTGTGAGTGTACACTGGTTTCTTATAGTTATAATGTATTTTGTTTGGTGTAATGTACAAATTGTAAGACAAAATCTCCATACGGACAATTATTATTATTATTATTGTACATTAGTTAATTCTTTAAATATTTATCCTTCTAATCAAACCAAAAAAAAAATGTAGTATTTAATTTCAATACTTATTTAAATAGTTTGTCTACATGTAACTAATGTTGAACAACAAGAAATGTAAACTGCACAACGTTGGTTATTTAAAATTGGGATTTACTCCTTCCTTTTTAAACAATCAGTTGCCTAAGGGCCTTTTTTTTATGACAATATGAAACCAATTACACTGGAAGATCATCTGAGACAATGCCACCCTGACAAAATAGATACAGATTTGAAAAACTTTCGAGCATTCAAAGATAAGGTTCTGAATAGATCCATAAAATCTCTTTTGACCACATAAAGAGAAGATGATGGTTTGTGAGTCATACAATGTCACTTTACTTATAACAATTAACTTGGCAAGACATAGCCTTAGACCGCATTAGTTGGAGAGAGATGGTGACCAACAAAGCTATAGAAAGTGAGAAAACATGGGTCTCGATTCTTGAAGAAAAGCGTGCCACACGGAAAATGGCCAGCTCCTCTACCACCAAAGCGAAAGCCACCTTGACATGCAAGATATTTGGACGGGAGTGTCTCTCCAAAATAGGGCTCCACAACCATATGAAAAAGTGTTCGAGATGAACCATAGTCGTTTCACGACTGAAGTAAGCCAATGATGATATAATTCTTTGCTAACGATATATATACAGGTTGGGATCAGCGGCGTCAAAGGCTCTGACAGGGTGTAGCGCTGTATGCGCAAACTGGTCAAGGGTCGCCGGCTCCTTATTTTTCTTTAGATTAGTAGCAAGGCAATGGGTCCCTCCTGCTCGAAGCTTACTGGTTTATGTGCAAGTTACTCGCATTCGCCCCTTCTCCCATAGGGAAAACTGTTCCGCGGACACTTGAAAGATCAAGAAATGCACAAGAAACTGCTCTTTATGAAAACAATTACAATGATACTTAAGGCAAATAATTAATTAATGTTTGAAGGACTGCTCCATAGAATATATGAAACATAAAATACGTAGGAACAGATGATGACCTGAGGAGAAAAAAAATTCAGTGTGTTTGATGATTCCAGCAATACATATTAATTATTTTAATTGGTTTAAATTTTAATTTTATCAATAAAAAATACTTAATTCACTAAAGTTGGAAATTAATTTAAAAAAAAAATTGCAGGGGTCTACAGAAAACATCGCAAGGGGTCCACGAGACAAAAAAGTTTGGGAACCAATGCTGTGGATGGTTACCCTATCTGTCCCATAAAAAATGTAAAAGAAAAGGGGTTTGATTCATTCAAAATTTAGATAGAACCCGTAATTTCCTGGTTCAAACACATCAATGTGTTGTCTTAAAGGCCTTTGATTAAATTTGTCCTTTCATTGGTATCAAAAGGGTGAATACCACGTATCAGGAAATCCGTCTATGATCAACTGTATTAACTGCACCTTTCTTTATTTCACACGTAGCAGAGTGCTTCATGGGGCACGTATATGTATACCAGTGATTCCCAAAGTGGTCTATATAGACCCCCAGGGGTCTACGAAGACTTCCAAAGTGAAAAAAAACAAATTGGGGGTCTATGAGATGTCCAAAGGGGTCTACGAAAATAGATTTCATTTAAGCAGATCGTGACTTGAATTTTTACATCCCATTAACGTAGTTATTCACACTAAGATATAATTTGTACCTAAGTTCATCTTTTGAATATTTATCCTGCTATTCAAACGAAAAATTGTTGTATTTAATTTCTATACTTATTTTATTAACTTAATTTTGTCTACATATAAGTAATGTTTAGCAAAAAGAAATGTCAACTGTATAGCGTTGATTTTGATTATTTAAAATAGTTAACTCCTTCCTTGTCAAACAAGAGGTTGCCAATTGCCTTTTTATGACGATATGAA